ATGTTGCTGTTCATGCGCTACCTAAGCAATATTAAAAATCTTGTAACAACTATGTATGTATTGAAGCTATACAATCCGTTTTCTTATGGAGTATAAATATACATTTTATAAATTTACAATTTTCGTTTATGTAACAATAAAAGGATGTCTTATATAATTGCCATTTCTATCAACAATTTTTACAACTCGGAGAAAAGTAATTGTGAGTGTGTCAAATTTCAAAAATTGTGACAATTTTATGTATTCTGCATAGCCTTGACTTCAAGATTATGTAAAATATTCTAGTTTTGTTTATATTTCAGTAAACGATGTAATTAAAACAGAAATGTATGTAAAACTAGCACGAATTAATCATCATCAGAATCATCTTTCTTTTGAGCATTTTCGGAGGCCTTATCCTCATCCTTGTAATGTCTGTACTCCGGTTTCAATTCCCACATATTTCTATGAGGATTTTTCAGATTATAATTACATACTTCATTTAATATTTCTTTCAGATATACCTGAAAAATAAAAATTAATATTTACAACAAATACATGTAACATATACATATTTAACTACTTAAAAGAGACTAACAATTGGTTGTCTTGTAATTTTCACAAGATCTCTTATATTATAATACTGATGTTTTTCAAAGGCTGCAAACAACATGTCCAATACTGCATCTTTGTCATCACGCATCTTTTTGCCTTCAGCCTTCTTCTTTTCTGCATATTCGATCTATAAACATTCAATTATATTAATATAAAAGTAAATATACTATTTTGATATATATTAAATCGAATGCTTACATTATGTTTGTGATCAGAAACAGGCTTGAAATTTTGAACAACTCTATCCAATTGTTGAACTTGTCTTTGTGGTACAGAAGCTCTTTTGATACTTTGCAATTTCAATTTCATATAACAATTATCAGCTGAAATTAAAACAAATTCATGATTAATGTGTTCTTTGATGGACTTTTAAATATTGTAAAATAAAATCATTACCATATGGCCGGCATTCTAATTTTTGTACTATTCTCCCTTCCATGTAAAGTTTCTCAGTTTCAGGAACGATGGAGTCAGAATTATTTGATGCTGCAGAAGGATGTATAATTTATAAATGAATTTTCAAATGATAAGTATTAAAAATCAATTTTAATAACTTACGTGTGACATGAGAAAATACACCTAACATTTGTTTAGTTACGGTTGTAACATCTAATCTATGCTGTTTAGGAATTTCTTCCTCTCCTGGCTCTTTCAAAGCTAGGACAGCTTCTGACAATTTCAGAGATACTTCTGCTTTTTGACCAGGATTTCTAACATATATTAAACACATGAAATTTAAATTGTTCACAGAATTAACAAGAAATTTAATAAAAGAATTTTAGAATAGAACCTACTTGGTTATCTTTAGTTTTCCAACTTCTATGTTGCCAGGTGCTTTCTCCCATTTGTTAGCTATGTATTTGGGTACTTTGACTAACCAAACACCTCTGCCAGCATTGCTTAAATCTAACTCCTTTTCTGTATGTGAAGCATTTGCTGACATCGTATCTACTTCAATAAATCAATTTTTTTAAAACTTAAGTACCGTATTCATGCAATGAATAAAACAATTATTTATAAATTTTTAACACTTGATACATTTGTATATCATAACTTTCTTTCCATGTACATTACTTACGGTACAATGTACATTCTCTAACAATGATCAAAGACTTTCAAGACTGACTCAGCAACAGTTGATGTTGTAACATAACCTATGACATTTAGTTCACCAATCGACCGTATTTGTGGCATTTTGTGGTTCTGTGTCAAAGATTCCGACAAAAGTTTCGTTTCTCTAAAGGATGTTCTGTGTTCTATGGTGAAGGTAAAATCTGAATAAAAGTCAATGACCTGTTATTTTACGAAGTAAACATCTCAGTGCAACATACATTAATAAATAGATATACATAAACAAAATATTAATTTATGGTAAATCTAATGGCTTCTTTATTAAGTTTTAAGGAATTTGTGAGATCGTAATAATTTGAGAAATGCATCATACTTTGCAATTCTAATTTTAACCTATAATTAGTATTTGTTAGAAGAAAATTTACTATTTTTCAGAAATTACGATGGCGTCAACACGTATGATTATAAATCGACAGATTTCGACTTCGTCTGTTTGTCATGGCAAGCGAAATTTTCGAAAATTTCTATTATACAACAAACGAGGTAGTCGTTCTTTTAAACATGAACAAGCAACCAATCCGGATTGTGACATTCCAATCGATAGTAAGTTAATTTTTATTTCAACTATTATATTTTTATGAAATGCATTTAAATCAACATTGAGCAATTTGTAACAAAATTGGATACATTGTACTTACCTAATTTATTTTAGAAAGAGGAGTAAGGGATACAGGACATAAAGTGGGAAATAAATTTGTTAATATACCAGAAATGATACCAGAAATTATTGTGCCGTCACTAAAGGATTTTCATTTAAAACCATACGTTTCTTATAAAGTTAAGGAACTTCCAAAGCATGAATTCACAGCACAAGATTTATTCAACTTAGTATATGCAAAAAAAATTGAAGATGACTTTGAAAATAATCAATTAGGCCCAAATGGTGAACCACTAAATCCCAGTGAATATGAGAAGTTAACTCCTAAGGAAGCTAAACTTAAGGCAGAACAAACTGGTACAGATATTTTCACTGTAGATAGAAATGACATTAATTGAATGTAAATATAATTGTATTTAATGTATACATACTTTAAGCAAATAAAATGAAGAAAATGAAAATTGATGGTATTCAAGTAACTTTAATATACCATAGATGTAGAGTAGCATTTCATTTTGCAGTCTGCATATGGTTTTATTTAGTATCTTCATACACGCAATGTATACACTTGCTGACAGTTTTGCAGTTGATAAATAGTAATTATTTACTATCATACATGACAGCAAGGAAACAGTAAAACAAATGATTCATTGTAAATGTAAAAACGGACATTTTGGTTAGCAACGTTTTTTCTATTTTTTGTTCATTTTATATTGCCCATTTCTAATGCACTTGAACAAGTCCATAAAGCACTTGTTTGTGTGGTCGGACAACATATTGCAAAACAATAGTAATATGTCGCTGTCAAAGATAGTTGCTTTCAATAAATTGTTTCTAGTAGTAAAATAAAGTTCTTAGAGTTAATTATGAAATAAATTTACGCGCTAATCAATCAAATGTCGTACATTTTACAAATGATATTTGTTTTATGCAATGTGAAAGTATTATTTTAATAAAGACATAAATGCTGAACGGTGCCAAAACCGATTTTCAATTCCTGAGTTTTTGTTCGCATATTTGTGGGAGGGTCTTTTGAGAATTATATGCCAGAACAAGAATCCCGGTCTGATTATGCTAACTTAACAGCTATCGTTTTTTTTACTTATCAAAAGACTTTGAGCGAAGTTTGATTGTTTTTTTTGTTGGGTAAAAAATGGCGGAAAATTTGAATATTAAAGTCGTTGTCAGTTGTGCGCGGCCGGTATTGCTTCCTACTGATTAGACTACTAGAATCTAATATATATATTTGCCTTGGAAAGTGCTGTATTCGTATCAAAATGTACAAATAGTTTTTTTTAGTTATGTCACCGATTCATTCCTCTTCCTTCTCAATTTTCAACCATGCAAAAAGCTCGTGTAGCAGAACTGCTTGTTTATTACGTTTCAAGTGAAATGATAACTTTGTACTACATTTATGCATAGTAATAGTACCCAGTAACTATGAATGCGACTTGCATTCTTTGTAGAAAATCAGAACGCATACAAAATGTATAATTCAATATGTAAACAATCATTATTTTCATTAAAGATCATGTATACAACAGTTTTATTTAAACATCTTTACAGAATGCAGCACTTTATTATCTTTTTTTTCAACAGCAGCTACTATTTATCGCTATTTATTATTGTTTTTATTATTTCCTAACTCACTATAACCATCATAATGAAGAGTGGAATGATAAAACAGCTAAATTTTGTACAACATTATTGGAATAATCGTCAATGGAAATGTATAACACAAATTTTCAACGTAATTCAGTTAATTCCACCCCTCAATTAATTGCATAAAAAAGCTGAAGTGGCATAATTCTTGCATTTGATTCCAAATAAAACTTGTTTCAGTCATTCCTGTGAAGGAAAGATTATTGCACTTTTATTCCTTATGCTATAAAGTATCTCTAATTACTTGATCTTTGTTTGAGCACTGATACTTGCTTTTATTCGGTAACGGTATTCTAAATTTTTTCTGTAACAAACAGCTTATTAAATGGAAGTTGCAAAAAAAATAATGAATCAATTGAAGAGTTTTATTTTTGGATTTTTGTAAACCAGGATACCTTGAAAATAATAGAAGTATTGTGATAAATATATTAGCAATACCACAATCGTAGAATAATTTGTTGAAATGTATTCGGGAAGCACATCAAAAGCACTCTTTGTTAATTGTCATTAAAATATGTATGACTATACACATAGTCAGTTCCAATTAAACATAGTCATTGTAAAGCAAGACATATGCCACTCGCTCATGAATATAAACTTGGTTGGTGTTTTTTTTTGTTAATTATCAGTCTATGATATAATTGGATATTTGACTGATAAAAATCAGCCAGTCGATACGTAGGTATGTATGCTGCTACATGACGAAGATTTCTTTTTCTTTTTTAATGTCTTTTTTTGGTACATCTATATGGTATGTATGTAATTGTTTTATGAATGAAATCCATGTTTACGTATATAAATATAGGCGATAAAATTTGATGATCGAAGCAGAAAGTTGTAAATTAAAAGGATTATTCGAGAACAGCAAATCTTTGGCATGTAGTAACATATACCTTTCATCTAATCAAAGATTTTGTGTATGAAAGCTAGAGTTAAATGGAGGAAATGGTTCTACAAAGAAATTTATACAAAGTCATTCTCAGACACTTAGAAAATAGATATGATGGTATATGTAATTATGTAAATAAAGGATACTGATATGGAAAGACTAGGAAGGCAATACTGCTTATTGTATCTGGTATGTAGAATCTAGTCTTTCAGACTCAAAATCTCCAATTCAATGCTAAAAGTACAACAGGGTAGATGTTCATTCCATTGGATCCCCAACGTTTTCGAAGATGGTTGAATGAGGGTTGCTTCCGGTGGCCCATAAAAAGCCACCTACACTGCCAGGTGGCAAGTATGATGCTCCTCCACTGAGACCCACCTGATATATTTTCTTCTTTAGATTATTTACATTTTGTATAATTTTTGTGCTCAATATCTTTGTCAAGTTATCTCAAAAAAAGGAAAATAAAGTCTAGGAAGCCAAATAAGGAAAGGTACTACGATATGCATTTCTCAAGCTTCATGTTTAGGTGTTGTTTAACGTTGTATTGTTCAGGAAGAGTCCTTCATCGCAATTGTGCTAAAATATAGCCGACTATCATTCTCTGTATAGCGTTGGTGTATCGGTGCAGAAATCATGTGTTATTGTCTGAATAGTGTATTTAACAGGCAAACATATCTATATAAATTAATATTGCACAGTTATCAAAACGTAATCTCATTTTTTTAATTTTGTAATGAAGATGAGTCGTGATCGAATTTGTTTCTGATGGATGAACATGTTTCTCCTTTCGTTTTTGTTAACTGTACAGTAAATGTTTGGTCGGGGATTAATTACATGCACGAAGTAAGACAAATCAGAGTGAACAATAAACTGCCAAATTAAAGAAAAATAATTATTTATTTGCATCTAACACAAATAATTGTGCTATCGTATCACAAGTAACATCTAGTCACTAATGTCATAAACAATGCTAATAATATTTACATCGAATCATTATTGTGAACATGATACACGCTCACAAGAATGTTGACACTATAAAAGGAACTGTAATATAATACTCCGTGTTTGAGTTTGAGTATAAGTACACAATTCTGTCACGATTTGAATTTGCTCCAAAAAAGCAATGACGTCATACGATCGTTGAGCAGATACCAACGAGTTATTTTCCGTTCTTTTTTATTTCGGCCCGATAACGTTCTCTTTTTTTTTATTAGTCGGCTCAACCCAAACGGTTTTTTTTTAAACTTCTATTTATAGAATTACCTGTTGACTCCACAGCAATGTCCTTTCTGCTAACTGACAATCTGCTGCTAGTCGGGACGGCAGGCTTTTCCATCTTTCCTCGTCCCGTTTTCTTTCTCTATCAAAGTCTCTGTCAACATGTCCCTGAGATAAAGGTGGTAAGATTTGTGTTCTCTGAGCTAGTTTATAACTATCTTGTCTCGGTACATGATCAGCACGCCTGCTTGAGCCGCTTGTCGACACAGATATTGGTGTTGGACTTCCTCCGCCTCTATGTCTATGATAGAGATTCCGTTTTTGTTGCAACATTCGCTGCTGTACTAGCAATTGCAGTTGTGTACTGAAGTCACCGCGAAGTTTGAATTGTTGTTGATTCTCAGGTGGAGTAGACGGTGGTCTTAAATGTACAAGGTCTAAATGACCCCTGGCCTTGCCAGAATCTACGAATGTAGATTAAAATTATATTGGTTCTTTTATAAAAATACATAATTAGTATAATAAAAAGTTTGTATACCTTGAATACTTCTCTGCTTGGTCGGTCTGTCACCGCCACCTTGTTGACAGAACAGCAGTCTGGGTCCACCGTCAGAGGCTCTGCGACCTTGAGACACTCTGGATATTCTGCCAGTTATCGGTGATGGACTCAAAGTTGGCGGGGGCGTGCAGGACGGCAAACTGCTTGTGAATGAGTTTGCCCCGGAGTAATCTGGCGGGCAACCGGAATCAAAACTGGATTCAAAAAGTTCGGACGACGAACTACCACTACCACCGGCAATGAACAATGTTGTTCGACTAGGAGGATCAATAGGATCCATAAGTGGGGTATCAAAATGGTGTTGATAATCACTTAATCGTCGATTGACTATCTGACTGTCAATTCGTTGACTGATATCATGATCTAGGCCTAGTCTATGTTCTTCGAGCTTAATCTGAGCTTCTCTCAGTTCATCGCCACTCGGACCTTCTTCCAGGTCACCTTCTGCGCTACAGCATCCTTCGTCGGTCGAAGAACTAGTCGAACTAAACCTTTTGCCTCCTCGAGTCGCATCTTCCCTTGTTCTAGACAACGAAAATGTAGCACATGTTATATATATCGAACAATGCATGTATTGCAACGGTTTAGCGCACAAATGGTAAATATCCGTTTATGATACTCTTATGTTGCTTCATGTATTAAACATACTAAACTTTAAGGAATGTTCAAAACTGTGAATTCAATATCGATTTTATGTACAATGAGACAGGTAGAAAATATTAATGTGAACGAAAAGCAGTTGTAAATTAAAAACAGAAAGCAGTAAAAAAATAAACAGAAAGCAATAAAATAAAATGGGGATTTACCAAAACTAAAGCGACACCGAAGCGTTTCCAATCCGACCTGTCCCGATAAAATCTCCAAAAATGCGTCACCGACACTAAAGATCAACGTCCCACTAAGCTATCGCTGGAAACAGAAATTATACGATTAAAATAGAATTCTTTCTTTTTTTCGAAACTATTTCTGACTGGCAGGATTGGAAGTCATACAACAAAGTTACGTCACATTCATTCCATTAAAAGGTAGTAAACGATACAATGCAATCGAAACATGTATTTATTAGTAGAAACTTACCTTGATTTAAATTTGTCCTCTTTTGTTCTTGCTACACTAGGCCAGCAACTATTGTTTGTCGAGCTACTAATACGATGTTGCTTCAGCCTCTCTAGTAGCAAGAAATAAATGGCAGCATGATGATCATAGCTGCTATTCCTTAAAGACTGTTGAAAGATAAAAGGTATTACTATATAATAAATTACTTCCTGTATAAATATAGTATTAAGTTGATACAGCTTGTAGAAACAGAAAATACCTCTCTGGTCCGTGTAATATCTATGCCTAAGCTATGCATAAGTCGCAGTATTTGCTCATTTGGTTCTTGGATGGATGAGGATGGTCTTGTTATGATCATTGAACAAATAGTGTCTGCAGACCCTGCCATCCAGCGATGTCTCTTTATTTGTGGAATGGTGTATCGTTTTGATGGTTCCAAAACCAACATTTTGCGGATTAGACTTTCACAATCTGTAATAAGAAAGCAACATGAATTTTCCAAAATCAAAACATCTGTAAATGTTAGAGGAAGAAAGTACCTGTGCTCATAAAGTATGGAATTCTAAATCTTCCACTCAGGACACGGTCTCTCAATGACTGAAGGGTAGAACCATCAAAGGGCAGTGCTCCACATACTAATACATACAGTACTACACCTAAACTCTGCAGTTACAAAGAAATAGTCTGTTAGAGTATTTGCATTGGGTATCATGTGTTACATACATATGTAAAAGTGCTTACCCACACATCAATTTCAGGACCAGCATAATGTTTCCCTCGAAAAACTTCAGGTGCTGCGTAAGGGGGGCTACCACACCATGTGCTTAATCTTTCACCAGGTGAGAATCTATTACTAAATCCAAAATCAGCGATTTTTACGTTCATCTGAGCATCTAAGAGTAAATTTTCAGCTTTGAGATCACGATGCGCTACACCCGTCGCGTGGCAGTATTCAACCGCAGAGAGTATTTGAGCAAATGTTGCACGAGCTCTGGGTTCTCCCATTCGTCCATATCGTGCAATATAGTCAAATATTTCGCCTTTGCTCGCATATTCGCATACCTAAGGAAGGCATGCTGTTATACTTCGCTTTTAATTCTAAAAATATATTTAAAATGATTTCTACACAGTCTTACCATATATATCATATTTTTTGTTTCCATAACTTGATATAATTTGACAATATGCGGGTGTTCCAGTTGCTTCATTATTTCTACTTCCCTATAAACTTTTTCAAGATTGGTGGGATCCAATTGTGATTTATCAATTATCTTAATAGCTACCTGAAAAGAGACACGGTATTTAATTAATTTGATTCAATTGCCAGATAAAATATATCTTTGATAGTATGTATAATAAGAATATACCAATAATTAAATTTACCTCTGTCTTAGTGATACGATGTCTTGCTAATTTTACCACAGCAAAGTTCCCTTTGCCAATGGTGCCTTCAATGTCATAAAATCCGACACGAATTTGGATCTTGTTTTGTCCCACTCCAGAATCCATGTTTTTGGTAAAAATTGTCCTCTCACCAGCCTCTGAATGATTGTTTCCTTCTTATTGTAGCTTACAAGTGCCTATAATTAACATAAAGAAAGAAACACAATTTGAAATGCCTATTAAGCGAAATTAGCTTGCAGGTTTAAACTGTGTTATCATTCTTTGAATAATTTATACCAACTACTGTTGTGTCTTATTGTATAACATATAGCATAATGAGTCACACATGCATATACATATCGAGTCAGCTATCTGACAATTTGTTAATTACAAGCAGACCCATGTAAAATTTGCAGCTTGCATATTTTAAGTACAACACAATTTCATATAGTTCCAAGTCGTGTTTCGTTGCAAAGAAATTTAAAATTGCAAAATAAATTTTACCAATTTTCTGTACTGCATTTCTGTTACACACAAGACCATCAAAATTCATCTATACAACTTACTTATAAACGATTACTAGTTTCAAAGAATGATCAAAGAAAATGTCATTATTTTCCGACTTGTCATGGACCACTGACATCACAGTTCCCTTTGACGTCAGCTACTTTCAATTATTACGCTTAACATTTGAAATAACTGATGGGTCTCTACAAGAAAGAAATTGCTCGAAACGAGCCGACGCGACGTTTGATAATCGTCGCGACGATTGAAACAAGCCGACGTCTCGCTCCAATCGTTGCCACTAATAAAACAGGTCGTGTATATTGTTTATCATCCGAAACGTTTCAATTCGCGGTCGGGTCGGTTCAAAAATTGATACACGTCGAAATTCGAGCGCATTCCTCGCGAGGGAGTACGCGATCATCCGCGTACGGAAAAACCGACATCATTGTTCCGGGGGCAAAAGTGCCTCGCAGGGAAACCCTCGCGAGAGAAAGAGAAAGAAGCTTCTTCGCAAAAGTGTAAAAGCTTCCTGCAACAAGTACAATAGGTATTCTCGACTGACGTCACGGATCGACAACGACCTCTTGCTCATCGACGGGTCCAGGATCGATACCCGTCGATAGTCTTCGATAAAACGATAAAAGGAGAGACCATGAAGAGGGAAGGAGAGCCAGGTAGGAAACAATGACAAGGACCGAGGAGAATGGTGTAGCATCGTCCTTGGAACAATCCATCGTATACGGAAGCGAGCAGTGAAGCGCACGGGTAACGTTGTTTGACAAGTTCCTCGGTTACTTACGTTCGATCCTGGCCCGAATTACCGGGCGCTGCACGTTCCGGACCGGTAGAACCGTTTCTGAACCGAAGGAGACGCGTTGACGCTACCGACCTCGACGGGTGCGTAATTTCGGGGAGCCCGTGCCATCGGTGAGAAGTCGTCCTTCACGTTCACGAGATTCCAAATCTCGTCCCGGAGCGGCGGCGTTCCTACCGCACGAGTCGTAAGAGCTTCGCGTAACGCGACGGTTCGATACCGACTGACCGACAGCCATGTTGCTACCCCCCTGCCTACGCCAGAGTCGCCGGCCCCGTCCCATCCCCTCTCGCCCCAACCCCACACCTCGTCCAGGTCTCAGCCATTCTTAGCGAACATCACCACTACCACCACCATCCCTTCGTGTCGTTCTTTCTCCCCCACTCTTACGAACGAGCCGTCGATGTCGCACAACCACCACCGCGTCACTAGAGCGTCGGACGCGAGCGGGAGCGCGCGCGCGCACCACGTTATCTTCGAGAATTGACGTCAATGTATGCGCTACTATCGTCTCATCGTTAATTGTTTTCTGGGTGTAATTGCAAGGCAAATAGCCAGTGTGCCACCACGTGGTCGGACCCGTACACCGAAAGACTACCAGCGACGTTCTCTCTGTCTCTCTCTTCCTCTCTCTCTCTCTCTCCCTCTCTCGCTCTCGCTCTCGTTCTCGCTCTCTACTGCTTCTTCTTTTCGTTACGTCGATTCCTATTCCCCTCGACGATGCCACGACCGGCTCGCATACTCGCAGCCACGACCGTTAACACACGCTGACACTATTCCAAATTCCAAGCTACCGCAGTGTTTCGTTCAATGAACAAAAATCAAATATTCCACGTGCAAGGTCTGAAGAATCTTGCAGTGGAAAATGTCGAGTATGGGATGTAAATTACTACCTACAACGAAGAGCAAATGTGAGTGTTCTCACGCGAAATATAACTTGTTTCAGATTGGACCAATCGACTTGAATTTTGTTGAGATGTTAGAACTAGTTTAGACGTTTACCGGTAGGTTTCTTGTTAGTGAGTAATTTCGTGTCGTTTAATTAAGTTCGTTTATCGTTTATGTTGTAGGTTGGTTTTCACTTGGACTTATCGATATATGTGTGCCGCCATGTTTTTCGCATGCGAGTTTTGGATATATCGATCTTTGTCCCTTGGACAGGCAACCGTAGGTTTGCATAAACTCGAAGGTTTAGTATTTAGGGTTCTTTTTCGTACAAAAATTTGTTCTGTGATAAGTAAACGGTGTTGTAGGGTTCAGGGAATTGATATTTGGAGATATGGAGTAGTTTCGATATATTTTTGAAATGTAATAAATTATTGAAAGATTCGGATATCAGTGGTAGTACATATGTGAATATGTGGTAATCCGGTTGCTTACACAAGGGGCAACGCCGTCCTTTATCCAAAAGGAGAAAAATATTTGTTAAAGAGTGGATTTAGCAGTAAAGAGATATTACTTATTAATTAATATAGATTGAAATAATATTTTAGAAATTATCTCAACCGGTCCAAAATTAATATAACAGGATCTCATATATTATTAAACAAAGCAAGCCCTATGTTCAGTATAATATGCTGGAGCTTTTAATCCGTGGAATAGATATTATCTCGAAAGCCGTAGCCCCAATCAGAAAATTATCTTAAGACGCCTCGAGAGCGCGTCATGAAGAGATACGGTATGCTCAAGAACGCTATACGTATTAGGAAGGAGTTGAGAGCACACATGTAATAAAAAGACAATTATTCTAGTGTCTCAGAAAATAAATCATAAATAGAATGAATCAGCAGACGTGTGTGTAGAAGTAGTAAGACACACATATTCTTGCCACATATTCTTTCCTTGTTCTACGAATCCATGTAATACATAATTAACGTGAATACATTTGCGACAGACGCGATGCAAATTCGTAAAGGACCAAGCAAGCGTTAACACTGACGCTAAACCGACCGCGTCGGACAAAATGACCGGTCCTACATTTTTTACTTTAAAATTACGATAAAGCAACGTGTGCGTCAGTCACTTCAAGTGCTCGAATAGGTTCGGCGTCAACCGAAACGAACGTTAGACATTTACGTATGCACTTTTGTCGAACGAAAGAAACCGTTTGGTCATTCGGCCGCATATAGACGAGCCTGTGGAAATAGAAGCTTGCATCACTATCTAATTAATAGTAACACGAAAATAAGGAAAAAAATTTCGTTCGAACACGAGGTCGCGATCTATGCTGGGAAAACGGCTGTGCACACGCGAAACACTGTGCATCGTTTTAACGAGATGCCCCTGTAAATTGCGACCGGGAGAAAATGGAATACGGTTACGTGACGGAGGTGATGCACCGTTGCTTGGCTCGGAGACACCGGACCTCCCCCTTCCTTCGCCCCCGCGCTCGCCTACCAGCACAGTTTTGATAAGATTTCATGCGCGATCACGAGCCACTCATCGCCGCGCGATCTATTTCGCGTTCTATGACGATCGAACCGTTCGCGACTCTAACGCGTAAGTAGAACCGATAGACGATCCAGAGAAATTATACAATATACGCTGGTGTTTTTCCCTTTTCCTTTTTTTTTCTTTTTCGTATTCACACGCGCGGGTATCGATAAGAACGCGATTTGCCCGCAACGTCAGCGGTTTGACGATCGTGTGTACCGTCATCGACGATCCGTGGATAACCGATTCCGATAAATACTGGTAACCTTTTTCTTTCTTTTTTGAGGAATTGACGTCAAATCCGCGCTCCCGGCCAGTAAGCGCTTTTTAACTACCCGATCCGTAAATCACGTCAGAGGTTCGCCGCTTTCTATGGTTTCACGGAATAAAAACTAACCAGCCGAATTTCTTGTCGTAGGTCAACGCTTAGCCTATAGGTGCTCGTTATCGGTATTGATAAAACGCGCGGATGGATGGGAGGGATAATTAACACGCGCTTTCCAACAGCTGTTACTTAACGGACGGAACTGCCAAATTACCTAAAATTACTCCACTCGAATTTTTTAATTTGTGTTAAGAGGTCAAGAGCCTTCGTTGGTAATTGTTAATTTCAATCCATTTTTGACGGATGTTAGGGTAGTGGAATCATTGTTGTGCTTTTGGTTTCTTTTCGGGCACAATCGATTCTATATTTGTCGAATAAGACATATTAAATTTCTGTTATTCTTTTATTTTGTTTATTTTTGAATACAAAAATTGAATATGACCTATTCGATAAATATAATATCAATTATGCTCGAAAACATACCAAAGGTACAGCAATTGGTCAGGTCACAGTAACTACTCTACAATAGAAATTGTATCTCGAATGTCAATAAATATTTTTCGGATTTTTACAAGATATTACGGTTAATAGCGCTTAAAGATTCGGCATAGATAATCAAGGGTTTTTCAAATGTATCATTCAGTAGCCATTTTCGGCCGTATAAAATTGTCTAACATTTATATTTCAGTTAATTTAAAATTTTTAATGTAAATTTTAAATTAGTTTAAGGGCAAATTGTTAAGCTTCTTTCAGCACAATCATTAGTGGGCTTCCTGTAACTGAAATGTTAATCAAAAAATGTTCAGAACACACGGCTTTCATCCTGAAAGTATTAATAGTTCATCAAAAATCAAGCTACAATTGTATCTCAACGATGAAGTGCTAATTGCAAAATGACATATTTATGTAAACGTTGATGCAACTTCTTCGAAGATTGTAATATATGCCTATAGGTTGATCTAAGTATTCAATCAATAAGTATACCGTAAGCTGTTCTAATCTAAACAAACATCGAGCAAAGCTTCGAATGCTTCAATAAAGAAAAGAAACCTCGTTGTCTATGTTCATCGGTCACGTGGCTTCCTCGGCGTTACATATGCGAGATATCGGAACACGGAAACAGAGTGTACAATTTATTTCGCGATGCAATGTCATGTGTACGGTAAATATGTGTGTACAAGTTATGCGTACAGTCGCTCGCGAAAATCTTCGCACTACGAAGACAGCCTTTCTTGCAGATGGGATACCTTAACTTTGATTGATTGGAATAAATTAATAATTAAACTGTTTGATCTCTATGCAACATCAAAAATTCTCTGTATCATTTGTATGGTGCAGTGGCTGCATAGGAATTTTTGTCCTTTCTTTCTACGCTTAATCTGAATGTATACATATTATACACATTATAAAATATTTCGCTTTATTTCATATCTATATTTATCTTGACCACCAATTATGCTCTATTTCTTCCTAAATTATTACAATGATCCATAGTAATCGCGTTTGATAATGATTTACAAATAATGGTTCCTTTGTAAAATGCTCGCACACTTTTCCTAGCGACTGTAGGCATATGGTAACTTATACGTACCTTGCCGAGCATGATGGATTGTAGATTCGTGTCGCGATTATTTTACACGACGTCCGCGATTTTGTTGTTTGCGTTTTTTGAAATTGCATTATCGACGGAAACGTTCGACCGCGCGAAATTAAATATACCAGAAGTTGGTCGTGCTCTTTCTGTACGTGTTTGTTGCCGCAAGAAATACCGACGAGGCCAATGCGTGGATTACATAGAGGCTTAATGTATACGTAAGCGGTGAAATTTAAATAAAGCGACCGCGATTAGAGAAATGAAAATATAGAAAGATACGTAACAGCGCGCGGTCGTGTGCAGAGAGCGGGAATCAATAGCGAAACTATGGCGCAATTTTATTAAAGAATCGAGAGTTCAAACTGAATGAAAACTTACAACGCGAACCGTTCCGTCGCAATCCTGATCGGAGAACTACCTCGGTTTACGTTATCGTGTTTCACGTATTTACGAATGGTGTAATCAGGCTGTTCGATTTCGCAGACGTGTTGATCGCAACAAATCGCGAGCTTTCGAAACTTCAAAATGCAGGTGTCACGGAACGTAGAATGCAGTAAATTCTTCCCAATTGTCTTTCAGCGTGTAAACAGAAATGGACAATTTGGAAGGGGTGATCGCGCCTCGTTTTTACAGTCGTTGACAATCGGCAACTACGAAGAAGAGCCGCGAGACTCGAATAATCGTGACTACTCTTCCCAAATTGTCCATATTTGTTTGCAAGCTGCGGGACAATCGGGGAGAATTTACTGTATTCCGGAGTACGTTCGATAGAACGTATTTGCCACGTGCTGGCTAAAGGTTACACGAGAGACTTCCCACACACAGGAGGGATGGGATGTAATAGGTAATGGCGTTACGCTATAAAGTTACACGCGCGTCAGCAACCAGCTCGTGTTGCACCGTTACACATTTACGAACGTTATTCCGTTTTTTATAATTTAAGCGCATCGGCCGTGAATTAATGGGATGCAGTTACGTTCCTAATCAGAGAGGCGAGAAAAATCTTCGGGAACACGCTCGTCATGCGAAGGATTAGCATGTTACGCGATTCCTGCGCATGATTAATCGTCGCGAGCATGATTTTATTCTTACGACGGGCGCGCCAACTAAAATCAGAACGTTTTTCGTTTCCTGTCCGCGTCGTTCGATATTATGCTTTTGTTGTAAATTCTGAAAGAGCTTTCGTCTCGAAATCTTTTAAATCTTACATCCGGTTCTCTTCACTGTTATTCACAAGAAGCATAGAGGGAATAGGAAAGCACTTACTGTTTTTCAGATAGAGATACGATGAAATAAAACTGTGCAAAAAAGATGACTGATCGTTCACTCTCGACTAGAGATATGTATAATTTCGTATTGTAATTCCAATTGCGTCGTTCGTCGCATGATTCGTTCTTTGTTCGTTGCATAATTTCATAACAGACTTCTGTAACACAACTCTGACCAGATGGTATGATTAAAATGATCATTGCACTTGACAGTAAGTACATAAATAAGAAAAACTGGCCGCGCGGTCGCGCACAATCGAACAAGAAAATGTTGACGATTAAATGAACGAAGTCATCGTCAGGCTGTGTATGAATTATCTTTTTTTTTTTTTAAATGTGCGTTGTCACAAGATTAATATTATCTACACAGAAAGGACTATAAATGCGAGTTGACGATTCGGTCGGGGTCGTTTCCGGTTGGTTCGATTGATAACGGAATCCTAAAACGCCCGTTTCTGTTTAATCTAGCCCGAACGAAGGTTCGACGTTGACGTAATTTAACCCTGAAAGAAAGCGATAAAAATAGTCGAATCATGCGGATCTTTCGGCATGCGATGTTTTATGTTCCGTTAGGTCTGGGTTCGAACTTACGATTCGGATTTAATATCTCGGCACGGTTCGTCCGGAATTTATTTAAATCCGCGATTTCGCTCGCGCAAAAATATTTATTTTGCGACGCTAACGTCGCAGCGGCAATTAGTGTACAGCCACGGAACAAGAAAGAAAACATTTAGCATTCGTATGAACAGCAGAAACAGGCGAAGGCTAACAGTCGACCGTTGCTGTCTGACCATGATAGTACTGTTTCTCCTTATTAAGGAACCTGTATAGCCTGTAATTGTATTTATGAAAGCTATACGTTATCCATAAGCTTGAATAAGCCCGCAGGTGAACACATTTTTTATTGAACAGTTTGCGCGGTTTTATCGCCGTTTTACGATTGAATACTTCAAGAAAATATTTTCGTTCCTCCACGAATCGTGATAATCCTATATTTGGAATCGCCTCTAAGTAATGTCCACGGGGAAAATAATATCCTCGGATTATTTATAGTATGCATTTCTTCCGAGCACCGGTTTTATGCTTCAGTTTTCTTTTAACATGTTCTCATTGTAGAAGAACTAATTGCAGCTAATAGTTTATCTTCAGGCTTTCAGTCGTGTAAC